TTACGACAGTATTTGATTTCGTGTGTGATATATAATTTATTTTAAAATAAATGTTTATAATGTTAGAAGTATTAATACGAGCAAAATAATAGATGTTTATGAAAACAAAATTTTTATCGGAGACATTAATAAATTGCAAAGAAATCCTGTTTATCGTGTTATTTGGAATTTTTTATTTTTTTATTTGATTGAGTGTTAGGATTTAAAAAGAAATGTTACTATTACGAACAAGCACGCTTCTTACGCTACGTATTTCTTTTATGTATTTTATATTTTTATAATACCACATCATATAAATAAGGTCTTACTTTTGAATTGCGGTGTGTCAAACATACGTAAACCCAATGGTTTGCGAATTTATTACAATACGAAATAAAGCAATTGTAAATAATGTTTAAGTAAATAGTTACGAGTACATTATGTATACATAGGGCGCACTATAAGTTTCCGGAACTGGCCACTTACATAAACAATATTTAAAAAGTCATTACAACATTTGAAAATGGAACTCTTTGGCTGTAGAACAGTTTGTTTTATCTGACTGTCACTTGTTTTTACATTGTGGCGTCATTTTAAAAATTGGTTGTCTACATCACCATGGATTTAACGCGTGAAAAATTTCGTAGTATGATTTTCTACGACTTCAAGTGTAAATTAACAGCTCAGCGTCCGTCCACTACTGGGAACAACAAAAACAACGATGCTGTGCGCCGTATGATCAAAACAGACAGGTATGTGACATACCATGAGATTCGGGCATCTTTAGGCAAAGGCATGAGTCAAATACAATTAATACTACAATAACATTAGGGTGTGAAAAAGCTGTGTGCTCGGTGGATCCCTCACAATTTGACTGAGGCTCAAAAAACGGATCGCGTCTTTTGGTGCAATGCCATGCTTACCAGATTCAACGAAGGGGCCTCAAATTTGGTGTGGGATATAGTAACAGGTGACGAAACATGGATTTATAGTTACGATCCCAAAACAAAGCAGCAATCGAGCGTATGGGTCTTTCGAGATGAGCCTAAACCAACCAAAGTGGCGCGCGTGCAAAGTGCCTCTAGGCAGATGATTGCTTCTTTTTTAATACGTGACACGTGGCTGCTGTTGCTTTGGAGAATCGTTGATTAGTGATTGATTGGTACACGACCATTAGTGTAACGGAAGTTATTGACAAACTCCGTAAATAACCATAAACGCCGTATCATCTTGCACCACGATAACGCCAGTTCTCACACGGCCAGACAGACAAATTAATTTTTGAACGTGAACGACGTTGACCTTATTACCGCGTACAGTTACGACCCTGTGACTTTTATTTATTTCCAAAAATTGAGAACCAGTTAAGCGGTCAACGATTTTCATCACCTGAAGAGGCTGTCGAAGAGTATGAAAAATATGTTTCAGAGATTGTCACGGAGGAGTGTTATAAATGTTTTCAAAATTGGTTCATTCGCATGAAAAAGTGCATTAACGCTATCGGAGAATATTTTGAAAAAGAATAAATTAAGTTCTGACCATTTATAGTATATTTTTCTTATTCATTCCAGAAACTTATAGTGCGCCTCACGTATTATGTATATTATGTACAGTCACACAAATATACTTCGTACTTTGTAGCATCGTGTTAAGACAGGCAGAGAGAAGAATTTCAATTTAAAGGCGCCTTCAAATTAAGTGCTTGTAGAAGCGCTTCAGTGGCGCGACAGTGGCACGGCAACCACGTGACCGTAGGCCTGAAGTGATTTTTAGTCCACTAATTGTGATTGCAAAAAGAATTTTCAAAATCGGCCCACAATTGACAGATAAATCGGTGAATACACTGTACATGCCTATACAATTTGAGGATGTTGCTCGATTTTCATGGGATCCCTTCATCAGATTCTGACTTGGTGACAATAGGACTACCTCGAAAGTGAACTCGTGAAAAAGTTTTCAAAATAAAAAAAAAAATCAAAATCGGCCCACAACTGACGGAGAAATCGGACAACATACATACAGCCGAAAGTATAACCTCTTCCTTGTTTTCGTTCATAAAAATGTGTCGTGTTTCGTTAAAAAAACCATTAACCGACTGGTTAATAAAAATGGCGCGAGCGTATCACGGCAATGGCGCTGCTGCTGCTAAATATTGTATCAAAATTAGTAGTGGCGCGGCTGCAATGCCACAGTGGCGCCACTACAGCGCTTCTTAAGGCCGCAAATTCGGAACGGTGGTGCGTTCAGCGGACGGACGTCAGAGCGCACCACCGTTCCGAATTTGAAAACGCCCTAAAGTGTACAGGAAGATAAGCCGCAGTTAATATATTTTAGAAACGAGCGTTTTTGTATTGTTTCAGCGCGTGCAAAATTGAGCACGAAATTTATGGCAATAACGTAGAATTTTTCAATGTTTTAAAAAGCCTATTTTTTGTTTTAAGAGATGGCTATTAAAGACTAACGACGTTAGACACTGTATTATAAAATATGCCACTAAGTACAACTGCCTCTATTCATGGCAGAAACTGTTGAGGCGTTGCGTCTATTAAGGTTCAACACTATGAGTACCGAGATGCTTTAGCGCATCCACACATGCTGACAATACCCCATGTAAAGAGCTTCGATTAATATGGTAGCCAACCCTCAAAAAAAAACACAAAATATCGTTTAATCCTCTAAGAAAAGCGCGCCATAATGGTAAATAAATATTAACAGCCGACTTTCATAGGCAAGGTTGCCAGTTCTTGAAACCAATTAGTACGTTTTTAATAAGCAGACATATTTTCTCGTAAATTACATTTCTTACAAAATGTGCAATAAATAATTCATGATTTTTTTAGCGGCAACACAAACAAATAGTGGTTCGAGTAGCCAAAAAAACAGATGTACGTAGAATTACAACGCAATTGAAATTCTTTGTGTGTTTTATCGCTATGATTTTAACTTAATATTATGACTCTAATGAGGGCAATACTCGATGAATGAGGGTGAATTGGTAAACGTAGTAAAAGTAGTGTTTAGCTTGCTGTCGAAACGCAAGCAAACAAATTATTTTACGAAACCCTGATTGGCCATTTCTAGTCGATTTTGATGAAATTTAAAGTTCCATTAATTTGAATTTAATGTGTATATTAAAGTCGCATAATTATTGAGGAAAAGCAAGTTCCGCGATGCGTGCTGTTAGAGATGTTTGGCAAAGTCGTCAAACACCGCCAGACTTTGCTCAACATGTCTGGCAACATCGAAGGCTGGAGAAAAAACCACGAGACAAGATCTCTGGTGATTTCTCGCCACATTTCTGGAGACATATGTTCCAAATTGACTAGATACGTTGATTGCTCACAATTTAAATTCATGACGGTCTATAGTATAAAAACGGATCAACTTGGTCTTTCAAGTACTTTGACATTAATGTTTCAATAACATACGCAAATTACTTATTCGACCAGCTCGGTCCTAAGGCCTGCATAATCAACCAAGGATTAATCCTTGGTTGATTATGCAGCGGTCTACGTGTCACCATCCGTTTCCATCCGTTGAAAATTTGAAATTATCAAAGTGATAATCAAGTTGTTTATTGTTTGTCAAGAGCAAAGGTCAAGCCAACACACCAGGAATTTGATAAAAGGAGTAAGGGAGAAATAAAATCAACGTGCACCTTTTTACCACCACTATTTTCTTTATATTTCGAAATATAACTTTTTGTAAATTTCATTGGATATTTATATTTTCTTTCGAGAAAAATAATTATATTCTCTAATACACATCGTCCTTACAGCTATAAAGTTTATTTAAAATAACAACGATGATAAGTTAAAATTTCTAAATATTTACGTCTTTTAAAATTTCGAATATCAATACATTTTAATGCAATGATAACATTACAGATAAGCACATGACGTCTAAATTGTCGAGTATCCTGCAGCTGCTATAAGTATTTCTGGTATCTAAAATATATCATTTAATTGAGTGCGCTATATCTCGAATCATTAACTCTACGGGTATATGTATATGTGTCCAAATATTTTATTTATACAAAGAAAAAAAAATACTTGGATAAAAATGTCACCTACAAATGTCAACTACAGTTTTGTTCTTCGATTGTACTTTTATCATTTGGCAGTGGAATAAGTTTAATCATCAACCAACAATTCAATCAAAATCATGTTCATAAATTGTCACATGAACTACACGTTTTCAGATAAACTTTTCATTTAAATGACGAATGATTAAACTAAATAAGTTCCTAACAAACTCCTGTTCAAAATAACTCTTAGAGAAATAGTTAACGACAACTAAGTGTAACTTACAGTATCGAATAAATAGCGATAACCTCTGAGTAGAGACATCATAACCCTACGTGTAATATTGACTCGGTTCAAGCTAAGAACATAAGACTGACTGCGCGGCGAGTCCCCTGCACTTGCGCTGGGGCCACGGGAACTAACAACCTAGGAACATACAATACACGGCTCATCACATCCACCAAGATATGCGCACGTTCAACTTAAGCACTAGAACCAACATTAACGACATAATAGCTTCGAAAATATACACTATAACGTAGGTTTGCCTACAAATCTTAAATACCGAGTTTAGCTTATGCCTAACGGCGAAAGCACGAGATTGCCAGTTCGTAGATTTACTACCCTAGTCCGTTGTCAGAAAGCCCCGTTTCACTAGACTCGCTGACCAGATCGCCTACGCAGACTTTAATCTGGCTAGTGCCGACATTATTGTCTTGAGGACTCTTCGATTAAACCGGTCGTCGTGACTTTGTCACATTCCGCTACGCAAGTAATATCACAAGAATTTGACGGCACTGTATTCCTAAAATTCGTACATTGACCAGATTGAAAGTTCTGTTAGGAGGAGCACAGAGCAATAATTGTATGAACACTGGACGCGAATTATCACAGTTTGTTATCCGGAGACGGGTCGCGACATCAGGCCTTGGCTTTCTGGCGTGGCCGACACTGCACCATGCAGATGTATCCTGCGTCGACGTCACACCCGCTCACCAGCAAGTTCATGAGAACTGAAGACGACTGCTTCGCAGGTGACGTTACCATTTGAGGTGGCGATGGGCTGCGTTTCACGCGTTTCGCGCTGGGCTCCTCCTCCTGCTTCAATATTCTCTTGACGCCCGTGTCCCATGTTGAGACGCTTCTGCTTGGTATTAAACCTACAAAAATTCAAGTAAGTAAAATTTGTGTTCATTTTTTAAAAGGCACGTCAATTTCTTTTTCTGATTTTATTGATGGGATACCTTGATCTGAATAAATATTTGTTATGAGATCCTGTGGTGGCGGGCCGGTCGGTGGCGCCGCGAGTAAGCATTGCAAGGCTGGCGCCGGGGACGTGGACTGCGTCTCAGAGGGCTGCGGCCTCGCGAGGCTCACGCTGTCGGGCAGCGCACCCCACATTACCGCCGGTTCCAATACCGGCAGTTCATCGCTCGTTGGGATGAATGGCGAGTTGCCATCCTCAATATCATCTGACCTTCCGTTTTCAAAAGCGTCTAACGACAAGTCTGTTAATAACGACGATCGTTCACATGACGAATCATTTTCCTGAAATTAAACTAAAAGGTTAGTTAAGGCCAAAATAACTGCTATAATAACCATAGTCAAGAAAAAGTTCCTTACCTGGGGTTCAGGAGATGACATCAAAAGAGAGTCTGGAGTAAGTGCATCGACAGGCGATCCATTAGCCAAGTCATCTCCCAATAAACTGCAGTAGTTGTCGTTCAGAATGAACTCATCGAACATGTCGAACGGACTATTCTCCAGAGGGATACAAGCATCACCAGCCGTAGGTGCCAAGTGAGTCAGATCTTCCGGCTCGTCTTTAAGCACTGAAAATATTCAGATACATTATAGATGAATTCTAAATGATGAATACCAAAAAAGCCTAAGTTTTACGACTTACTTGTAAGTCCCTCGTCTTGGGAGAACATTAGAAATCCCTTGTTCATTTCTTTCTTTCGCGGTGCGAATATTAACTCTGTGACAGGTATGGGACGCTCGTCCTCTGGCGGTATGGCGGCGACTATGGCGCCGTTGGGCAAATCAAGAGGCGCACAAATAGGCGCAAGAGCAGGAACTGACGTAGACGTGGCCAAAACAGGCTTCAAGTCCGCGTGCTGCACTTGGTGCGCAGCAAACACCTCATCTTTGCACTCGATACCGCTGTGGACATAAGGAAAATCATAGGAACGTTGCCCCTTTGGGCGAAATGGTCTATCTAATAGAAATATAGGTCTACCGTTTAATGCATGTGTACGTACAAGTGCCACGGTATGTCACACGATAATGCAAACTGCACGGTCATTACTAAATAATAATTTACACAATGCAGACTTAATAGGTTTTCTGACAGTGTAGTGTAGCAAGTAGGTATAAATGGTAAAATGGTTAGTGATCAGTGAAAAATAGTTTAGAATATTCGGGTGAAACCGTTAAACTAGTAGCTGATTTGTACCACTGGAGTTATTTTGGCTCACGGTGGACATAAGACACGTATTGTAAGCAAAAGACGCACGAACATGCTGTATTCTTGGCGGTTGCATGAAAGTGGAATTATTGTCACTTGGCAAAATTACATGAAATGACCTGCAATCTAGTAATAATAATTGGAAACCTATAAACGACAAATTGTATGGCATTGATAAGATAATAAATACTAGTGTCTGCAGGCCCACATTGCGTCATAAAATAGAAATATTTAACGATACCTATATGACAAGTATCTACACGATGTTGTTGAAAATGGTAGAGGGTCTAGGGAGACAAAAATCACTCAAACCAACTTTTATTTTTTTCTCAGCAAAACAAACGACGGAACAACTAAACTTGTTAACGTTACAGTTAGGTAACAATATATTAAGTCACGTGAATGAGTTTTTGAAATCGTATTCTCGTCACTTATTTTTAAAAGACGAAGAAGGAAAACGTGATATGACCAGAAAAACAACAATATTATAATTTATTTGAAGTCCAGACATGTAGCTTTATTTAAAAAAAAATTAAGACTGTCTCAAGAGTATAGCTGAACATTAACTAGAACTACCGTTTGGATGAAGATGCGCGTGTGAACTGATTAATGATATAATAATAAATGACCATAATAATCAATCATCATTAACCATCTCAAATGTACCGACTAGCATAACATATAGAACATTAATTAACATCCAGTGGTCTGATAACCCTTCACAGGTCCTCTGGGAAATGTGCGTCAATGACACTAACCTCAATTGAAAACTGCGACAAACTAAAGAGGTTAAAGTTGATCATCTTGTTAATCCATTAATCATGTCCCAGATAACTTTTAGTCTTAAACAATATCTGCATAACATCCTTGGAAGGCGGCGTTAATTATGTTTATAAATCCATTGGGATTTCAGCTACTTTAGCGTATACAAACACGATTATTTTAATGTGGAAAACTACAAATGTATCCATGAGATGTATTCATGTTAAAACATCGTCTAGATCAAGGTTACTTCATTCAAAAAGAGAATATTAATTTCCATGAACGAGTCCTAATTTCATCATGACGCAACGCTCCACTTAAAACTGTCGATTCACCCTAGGTCGGATATAAATCGTAAGGGGTGTGTTTTATTATGTCGCTGCATTTACGCTATTTTCGAAAGCGAGTCTGTTGGAGAGAGATAATCTTAATACGGGTTTTGATGGAGTGAGAGGGATAGTGGTATGGTAGTAAGTGCGGCCTTGCAAACGACCTCCTAGGTTAGGCTTTCCAAGTTTCTTCCAGACCGGCCATTCACCAGAGCAGTACGATTGATGCGCGCGCACCCCAAACACGCGGAGGGGTCCGTATTGATTGCCGGCTTGAAATTCCAATCCCCGTCCTATCTCACTCGGCCTGCGCTTAAATGCCGTCTCTTTAATGCGACTGCATTACCAAAATAGACATTAGAATGTTATTAGCATTACATAAGACCTCTGAGCTTTATTTGTCAGAAACATCTACGACTCTAGGTACGCTAGGCGTTGTCATTATATTTGGTGCAAAGTATTATTGTTGACGACAACAAACGATGCATTGGATAACGCAGATAGAAGTATAGCAGATACAGATGTCAATTTGACATTGATGATTTTGTTATAATGTTAGACATTGTGCAACGCAAGCGAGGCGTTTGGATCGCGCATTTGCCGGCAGCTGAGCCGACGACCTTGGCCGTGAATCGGGTACCGTTGAACGGGCAGCGTAATTCAACAATTACATCTGCCACGGTCGAGGGCAAATGTGACGTCATCGACACACAATGCACACCTCTGATTTGTTTTACTTAAACAGAAGATTTTGATGAGTATTTTAGTAAAAGAATTATTTTTTTACTAAAATACTCATCAAAGAAGTTTATTTACAAACAAACACTTTGTAAAGAAGCGCTATGTCGATTTAGTCGTAATTTATTTGCTGTGTTATTAAAAATAGTAAAATAAATAATATTCCACAAAGGCTATTGTTATTAGTAAAAACGAGGTAAAGATAAAAATAAATCTACAGTTGGAAAATGTTTTCCAATGAAGAAAAAAATACGAGAACAAATATGTTGGTACCAAGTAGATACTCGACAAGCGCAAAAACTCAATTGGATTTTGATCACAAATTGACGTTGGAATAGTACAAATAAAATTTGCTACTAATGATTTAATTTGCGTAGCAAATTACGTAAGAAGCCGAAGAAGCTTTATCTTATGAAAAGAAATTTCAGAGCGTATCATACCGATTTGCGATAAAGCCCGGTTAGATGACGGCTATGAGTGATAAATATTTGGAATATTGTTGAAGGTCGACTCTCATATCTGTAACTACGTAAGTGTTACCCGTTACTAAGTAAATGTTACGGCAAATTCACTATTGACTAATAAACTGAAGACGACACTGTAACTTCAAATGCTTCTCTAAAGGAGGGATGTTCAAATCAAAATTTCTATTGCATCTATAATATGAAACGAGGGGTCATACTATTTCCATTGTATTATGCAAACGTGCAGCTTGTAACGAAATTAACAGCGCCCGCATGTACTTATAGGAGGCGTCTGTTATTCAATTGAAAATGCATGTCACGATTTAATTAAAGTGTATTGTAAAGAATTCCATTTATAAAAATGCTCGGAGCGAAGTAACAATTCATATATGAAATGCATAACAAAATTATGTTGTCTTGCGTGTTTTACCACATGGTAAGAAGCGAAAACAATCGTAACAGCATTCTATCCTAAGAATCAGTTATTTAAGTGACTGGACACATCGATAAATGACTCGTTCACGCAAACAATGTATTTGCAGTTAATAGATGTTTGAATAGACAAATCAAACAGAATCAGCTCATCAGATTGCCAATGGAAGATCTCTTAGCGAAGAGTGGCGCGGGAGTCAAGGCCGGCGTGGCGCGATTATATAATAGCAGAAGACTGCGGGGGACGAAGCGTTGCTAATTTTAGCGGGTCGCGCAAACACCGCGCACACATCGCTCGCGCGCAAGTCGCAGGCGCACCTCGCAATGCTTGGATGCAAAATAACACAAGGAAAATTGTGTTCTGTACACACTCGTACACGCGCGATAACAATTTCAATCAAGAACAAGAACTTCACGCCATGAACACAAACAAAACCCGATCATGAAAATCTACTACAAACTTACAACTTGCTGTCGTGTGAATCTCAGAAGAGTTGAACTCTTTAAATCGATAGACAAACGACTACCGTATTTATCCTATTCTCATTTCACTTTTAATCAAGGCTGACGCACTGTGTCCAGAAAGTAAGCAACATTTGCTATTTCATCCGCAACTGCACTGCTTTATTTTACCGGCACTAATGGGGCGATGAGAAATTAAGTGTCACTTGTGAATAAACTTTTGAGATACAGCGGTAAAACTGGCATTTGTTACGACACATCCACTACAGCACTTCACTGTCACAATTTGAATATATCCTGGGCTTACCATGATGCGTGGAAATGTTGTCAAACAAGAGGTTAGAATCGGGTGGTAGTACGCGTCGTTCGGAACAGCTGATCGGTCTTGGTTGGTGGAGGCGAGCGAGCGCTCGGCTGTCGTACGCTGGCGGTGAGCTCTGTAGCGCGAATGATACGCGGCGAGTGACGGCGGCGCACTCCTCGTGCCGCCGCCGGCCACCTAACCACACAACCTACACAGCGCCGCTCGTAAACGAGAAATTTTTGAGGGTTGTCGCTTCATACTAAAGATATGAGAGAGATAACCTGAGCCAATAACCAGTCATTTAGTGATCATGAAGCCGGTGTACATTTACAAATACGTGATAATCACGTTACTCGTGAATCTAAAATGACTCATAATTTAAATATTGATAAAAAATGCGTGCCAATATTCAGCGTCTGTTAGGACAACGCGACGTCAGGATCTAAGTTTAGGTGGATCGCTTCTGATGAAAGGAGTTATTTTGGGTGACAAATGTCCCTGAAAGGCCAGTGAACTAACTAATATCTTACTTAACATATATTATTTTAGTACAATTGTACTAAATGAATACAACGTATGAGTTTCCTGTATAAGCAATGTTGTTAACGTTGTTTATTGGATCGAAACTTAATACACACTTCCTTCCATTCATATTTAAAATTGCTATCAATCCCAAGTGCGAGGGTGGATTTTACAAGAAAACACGACTTTGTGTGTGGTTGTGAAGAATATATGAAAGTCGACGAATTATTGCGATGATAGACCAAAGAAAATTAACTATTTATTGTTGTTATGATATAAATTTTTGCTGTCTGCATTTAGTGAGTTTGTACGTGATACGAGGATAAAAACTAAACAACCGATTTAAAACGTATGACCAACCTACGTTAAATATATTAATTTTGGATAATTTCGAGACGATTAAATTCGATTTTTATTTGTGTTTGTCAAAGGGATTTTTTTCTTGTAATATGCCGCACAGTTCCTTTTACAAAATGAACATAGAATAGTAGTTATAATGGACACTGCAATTATAGACACTCAAATGAATGTTCAATAACAGATAGTAACAGTAGAGCCCCTTATGAAAGAGTTCGTCCAGGGGAGTACTGCACCTTACCTATGCCAGTAATGTGACCCACTGTATTTCGGTTTTGAAGCATATGTGACTTTAAGTTATGTTTTAGGGTGACTGGCGTAGTGTC